AATTTAGTCAGACCAAGTAGTTTATCTGCAGATTAACAGAAATACTTTCAGTTCCATCACTGTAGCTCATTAAATCTGCAATATAATTAGAGAATAAAAACTACATACTTACATAAACAGTTGATTTGAGGTCTTCAAATGCTTTCAAAAATATGCAAGGTTTATCATCTTTGCCTATAGATGAAGAAGCTAAAAAAACAATAAATCTAGCCACTGCAATGGTGTCCTACACAGGAAAAAGAAAGTTTTTGAATCAGTCACCAAAATATCTACAATTTGGAATGTCATATAAATCCTTATTTATACTATTATCTTTAGAACAAAAATTACTTCTATAAAGTAGAAAACTGGTTAACCCAAACTTGTGTAACACTTACTGAATACGTGATTTAGACTATCACTTCCTCTAAAACATCTTCAACATCTACAGCTACAATATAGCCACAGATGGCTATAATGTCCCACTTCATGGGTCCAGGAAAATGTTAAATTACTAAGAAAGTTTTATGTAGTGAAACTTAGATGTTCCAATAGTATCAAGGATGGAATTTAAATGAAACTAAATCTCAAAGTTGAGAAACCACATTGAGAAAGGCATAACAGTGCAAAAACTCCACATATTACAAAACTAATACATGTGCATACAAACACAGGGCATAGATATAATAAGAAACCTCCATTTATAGACTAATAAGAACAAAGATAGCTTCTTACTACTTAGGTTTGTAACAGCAGTAAGAAGCCATTCTCCATTTATCCCTTCCTCTCTCATTCTTCAAATTTCCTTTTCTTATTTTCCAAATACTAAAACAGAAATACTCAAAGAGTTTTGCCTTGCTGCATATATATTTTTTATTGTCTTACTCCCTTAATTTTAACACCAATACCTTAAGATACACCAAAATGCCTGGGCTTTTGGTCATCTTCCTTCAATAATTTTAAACTCTATCAAGTGGAAGTCTTCTGCATTACCACAGTTTGCTTTGCATATACAAGGGCCTAGTGTCAATTCCCACAATCCTCTATTCAGACTTAATAATTGGACTGAGAGCATATTGAAGATAGCGGTCATTTCTAATTCTGCTCTGTATTTACAGGAGTTGGCACAAAGCAGGCCCTCCCAAAACAAACTGTCTATGAACCAAAGGAAAGACCTTATGTTGCCTTTTCTAAAAATCTCTTGCCCTAACCAGGTATTGTAGCTCTGCAAACTCCTGCCTTTTTTTCTTCACATGAGATTGCAAACATAACTGTATGTATGCTGATAATGCCAAATTACCACAACTCTTCATAGTTAAGTGGGAGAAAATTTTTCTTCTTACTGAGGATTTTATATCTCTCTAAAACGTTTTATGCAGTTTAAAAAATAAAATGAACACGCTTCTGGAATAAAAATAACAAATGAGTTACCTTTTTTCAGTTTTACAAACTGAAAAATACACTCCACTTTCAAGTGACCTCAAACCAATACATTCTGATTAAATGAAAACCTAAGATTTTAGTCAAAGATTTAAAATTGTTTATCAAACTAACACAGAAGATAAATAGAAGTAGGGAAGCCAACAGTTTATCAGTTCTAAATTATCCAAGCAGAAAAAAAACCTACCTCTTGTTATTCTGTGTTCCACTTAAAAATGTTTTCAAAAGTAAATACTATACACCAAATGCAAATGTTGGAGTACAGACGACCATTTTCTTTCTATTTTCCTGCAGAATCTAAACTTTTTAAAAAGACTGAGTATGTATTTCTTTTATCATGAAGAAAAATTTTAAAAAGAATAAATGACTAAAAGCTGGATATCAGCATTCATAAGAAAAATGTTTCTGAAGTTAACAGTAGCTACACACAATTCAGTAAAAAGTTACAACCCTTCCTCTGGCATACATTCAACAGCATAGAAATAACAATCACAGCTTTTTAAAAAAAATTAAAATGTGTTTCTTATATTCGTAAATGTGGATTTATATTTGAATATACATATAAAAACTGCACTGAAGGCCCTCAGTGATCTCATTCCAACCAACTCTTCCTGTTTTATTTCTACATACTTCCCATTCAATATTAGACAAATTGGATCCTCTTAAAAGTATAGTGCTTTTCCATATATATTCTTTACATACTTTGAGCCACTGCTACAAATAAAAAACATGTTTCCCATTTGTACATATCTAACCTTATCCATATTTCAAAGTTTAGCCTTCTTCCTGGTAGACTCTATGATGGATTCTCTCTCAAAAACAAGTAATTCTACCTTCCTCTAAACTCTCCTACATAGCATTTTAGCATTTTTCTCTTTGTGTGTTATTTACAAACTTTTCTTAACGCCTGTAAAGCCCTTAAAGTCCTGTAAGTTCCTTGGACTAAAAATAATGGAGATCATTCCAAGATGGCCGAATAGGAACAGCTCCAATCTACAGCTCCCAGCGTGAGTCACGCAGAAGACAGGTGATTTCTGCATTTCCAACTGAGGTACTGGGTTCATCTCACTAGGACTTGTTGGACAGTGGTTGCGGCCCACAGAGTGTGAGGCGAAGCAGGCATCGCCTCACTGGGGAAGCACAGGGGTGGGGGAATTCCCTTTCCTGGCCAAGGAAAGCCATGAAACGTGGTACCTGGAAAATCGGGACACTCCTGCCATAATACTGTGCTTTTCCAATGGTCTTAGCAAACGGCACACCAGGGGATTATATCCCATGCCTGGCTCATCAGGTCCCACGCCCACAGAGTCTTGCTCACTGCTAGCACAGCAGATCGAACTGCGAGACTGCAGCGAGGCTCGGGGAGGGGCGTCCACCATTGCTGAGGCTTGACTAGGTAAACAAAGCGGCTGGGAAGCTCGAACTGGGTGGAGCCCACTGCAGTTCAACCAGGCCTGCCTGCCTCTGTAGATTCCACCTCTGGTGGCAGGGCATAGCTGAATAAAAGGCAGCAGGAACTTCTGCAGACTTAAACGTCCCTGTCTGACAGCTTTGAATAGAGCAGCGATTCTCCCAGTATGGAGTTTGAGATCTGAGAACGGACAGATTGCCTCCTCAGGTGGGTCCCTAATCCCCGAGTAGCCTAACTGGGAGATACTTCGAAGTAGGGGCTGACTGACACCTCATACAGGTGGGTGCCCCTCTGAGACGAAGCTTCCAGAGGAAGGCTCAGGCGGCAACATTTGCTTTTCTGAAATATTTGCTGTTCTGCAGCCTCTGCTGGTGATACCCAGGCAAACAGGGTCTGAAGTGGATCTCCAGCCAACTCCAATAGACCTGCAGTTGAGGGTCTTGACTGTAAGAAGGAAAACTAACAAACAGAAAGGAATAGCATCAACATCAACAAAAAGGACCTTCACGCCAAAACCCCATCTGAAGGTCACCATTATCAAAGACCAAAGGTAGATAAAACCTCAAAGATGGGGAGAAACCAGAGCAGAAAAGCTGAAAAGTCTAAAAATCAGAGCGCCTCTTCTCCTCCAAATGATAGCAGCTTCTCGCCAGTGGTGGAACAAAGCTGGAGAGAGAATGACTTTGACAAGTTGGCAGAAGTAGGCTTCAGAAGATCAGTAATAAAAAACTTCTCCAAGTTACAGGCGGATATTTGAACCCACGCAAATAAGCTAAAAGCCTTGAAAAGATTAGACAAATGGCTAACTAGAATTAACAGTGTAGAGAAGAACTTAAATGACCTGATGGAGTTGAAAACAATGGCACAAGAACTACGTGATGCATGCATAAGCTTCAGTAGTCGATTGGATCAAGTGGAAAAAAGGGTATCAGTGACTGATGATCAAATGAATGAAATTAAGTAAGAAGAGAAGTTTAGAGAAAAAAGAGTAAAAAAAAAAAATGAACAAAGTCTCCAAGAAATATGGGACTATGTGAAGAGACCAAATCTACATTTGACTGGTGTACCTAAAAGTGATATGGGGATAATAGAACCAAACTGGAAAACACTCTCCAGGATATTATCCAGGAGAACTTCCCCAACGTAGCAAGGCAGGCCAACATTCAAATTCAGGAAATACAAAGAATGCCACAAAGATACTCTTTGAGAAGAGCAACCTCAACACACGTAATTGTCAGATTCACCAAGGTTGAAATGAAGGAAAAAATGTTAACGGCAGCCAGAAAAAAAGGTCGGGTTACCCACAAAGGGAAGCCGATCAGACTAACAGCGGATCTCTCAGCAGAAACTCTACAAGCCAGAAGAGAGTGGGGTTCAATATTCAACATTCTTCAAGAAAAGCATTTTCAACCCAGAATTTCATAACCAGCCAAACTAAGCTTCTTAAGTGAAGGAGAAATAAAATCCTTTACAGACAAGCAAATGCTTAGAGATTTCAATACCACCAGGCCTGCCTTACAAGAGGTCCTGAAGGAAACACTAAACATGGAAAGGAACAACTGGTACCAGCCACAGCAAAAACATGCCAAATTGTAAAGTCCATTGATGCTAGGAAGAAACTGCATCAACTAACGAGCAAAATAACCAGCTAACATCATAATGGCAGGATCAAATTCACACATAACAATATTAACCTTAAATGTAAATGGGATAAATGCCTCAATTAAAAGACATAGACCGGCAAATTGGAT